TACTGTTGGATAGCCACTTATCTGGGTTTTTTTGAATTCCTGCTTTATGTCTACTTTTACATTAAAAACAAAAACAAAAACAAACACCTCATTGCTGTTGAGTTGATTTAACTCATAGCAACCCCTCCTTGGGTTTCCAAAGAGGTATCTCTATGGAAGTAGATTTCCCAATCTTCCTTCCAAGCAGTGGCTGGTGGGTTTGAACCACCAGCATTCTGGTTAGATGTCAAATGCCTTAGTCCTTTAAATGTTCTGAGTTAACAGCCAAAGTGAAACATTAAAGTTCCAATATTACTTGAGGAGATAATGTTAATTTATTGTCAGCTTTAAATGTATCCTACATTTACTGTTAGGGTGTCTCACTCACATTATCTATTTAATCCTCACAACCATTCTATCATATGGCATCATCAACTCCATCTTACTGTTAAAGAAACCAATATCCAGAGAGGTGGGGTAGTTTGTCCAGTGCCACTTAGGTACTAAGCGGTGAAGTCATGATGAGGATGTAAATTTTCCCAATCTTAAACATAGAGCTCTGTCCTCTCCTATATGCATCCTTGTCATGGATTAATTTACCATTTCCCAAACAAAGAAATTTAAGAAGAAATACAGCCAGAATGTTCCTAAGCCAGGAGGGTGAGACTCAGACTTGCTTACTCTGAACATGTCATCAGTAGAGACTGATCACTAGAAAAGAACATCATGTTTGGGGGAGTAGAAGGCCAATGCAAAGGAGGGAACTCCTTGATGAGGTGGATTGACACAAGGCCATAACAATGGACTTAAACATACCGACCATAATGAGGATGGTATAAAACCAGGTGAAAGTTTCATTCTATTATATGTAAGATTTCCTTGAGATGAGCTGGCTATCAACAACAAGTAGAGAGCAGAGACAAGATAGAATGAGTTAGAATGGATAAGCTCTGATAGGGGAGGAAGAGGTCAGCAAAAAGTCAGGGTTTGGTAGGTCTGATTCAAGGGGCATTGTAGAGAATCCTGGAAAGCCAGGGGCACTGGGAACCCAGTTATTAAAAAGAGGAGAAAGTCAAAGACAAGAAGCACCAGTGTGACAGCACTAGCTTTTACCATATCTCTTTTCACCCAAGTAAAAAAAAAAAAACCCTAGTTTTTTTTTTCTGATTAAAGTACACAGTGTTGTGAATAAGATAGTCAAGGCCAATGCAGGTCAAAAAATAATCAGAAAGTATATTCATACTGGGAAAGACTGAAAAAGCCAGAACCACAGGTGCAGCATTTGGAAATTATAAGCCCTCAGCCTCCTGCTGCAAAGAGTAAGACTGTGGTTTGAATTGGAGCTCTTGGAGTAAGTAACAAAGAGTTTCAAGAAAGAAATATAATCCCCAAGACCAGATTCTGAGAAAATAAAAATTAGGACATCTTCTAGCAAGGGTCCTATAGGGACATTGGACTGGTTGTTAGAAACCACAGGTAGGTCCAGGGCTTTTCTGCAAGCTATTCAGAAATCCTCAGACATTTGCACTCAATGTTCATTTTAAAGGAACAAAGGCAGTCCTGGGGGTGGAAATGATATCCTCCAGACTGAGGGATGGCTGTGCAAATGTGAGGAGCCTTAGCCTTGCGGACAGGGAGAAGAGCTTCATCTAGTTGCTTTAGATTGCGTGCAATGTTTTCAGCATCAGTTGGCAAAAATCACTTCCTGATTTTGGTATTAGTACCCTGCTTAGTAAGAACTCACTCTTCAAGCCTGAAAATAGCTTCCATTTATTGGAAACCTACTATGTGTCAGTGGCTACTACACACATCTCTATGAGGTAGATAGCCTCAGCCCCCTATTCGCTTGAGGAAATCCCCCTCACCTCCAAAATTGTAAGAATTGTTCAATGCTGCACAGCTAAATCCGGAGAAACTAATCCGGACAGCCTTGAGGCTGGAACATACCTGATTGTCTCAGTGGCCCTATCCTTGGGATGGTTGTGGGTGGAACTGCATACAATTTGCATACAGTCTCTGGGAATTTGCATACAGTCTCTGGGTGGTGCAAATGCTTAAGTGCTTGGATAATCATCAAAAGATTGATAGTTTGAACTTACCATGTGGCACCTCAGAGAACAGGCCCTGTGGTCAACTTCTGAAAAGTCACAGCTTTGAAAACCCTATGGAACACAGTTCTCCTCCACACACATGGCGTCTCCATGAGTCAGAGTCAACTTATTGGCAACCATCACCAGCAAGATATTCTAAACAACCAGCTCACAGATTAAAATTTAGACTGGGAGAGTCTCAGGGAGACCGGAGACTGTGCCAGATGCTCATCTGAAAACCTTCTGAAGATTCCTCACCAACTACTGGGTTAGACAAATGAGCTTGTGTATGCCCAGACCCCTGCCTGGCTCATGGAAAGTGCTCAGTGAACACTGCTTTTTCCTGTCCATACCATCCTCATCATTCATGGATTCCATATATGTGAATTAACCTGCTTGCTAAAATTTATTTGTAATCCCAAAATCAATATTCATAGCACTTTTAAAGTCATTTATGGACATGTACAGAGTGGTGAAAAATTTGAGTCACCCAACATGCACCTTCTCAGTTGAGGTCAAACAAGGCCTTCTTGTTTTAGTGCTCATACTCTAAACAAGTGTCCTTTCTACAGCCCATTCAGAACCATGCTTTTCACAGTTTTGTGCTTTTGTTGGTGATTTTACTGTTTCAAATGGCCCCCCAAGCATCACACTGAAGTGCTGTCTAGTATTCTAAAACAGAAGAAAGCTATGATGTGTCTTATAGAGAAAATATGTATGTTCGATAAGCTTACTTCCTATATGAGTTATAGTTTGTTGGCAATGACTTCAATATTAATGAATCAATAATATATATTGTATAAAGTGTCTTTAAACAGAAACAAACATAAAACTAGATTATGTATTGATCAGTTGGCAAAAATGTGACCAGAAACTAATAGGAGCCTAACCTTGTATTTCCCTTTGGAGCAATGGTTCAGTATTTACTAATTAAATGTTCATGATATCTTTATAGAACATAGTTGCCATGAATAACAAAAATCTACTGTATTGTATAGTGGCCTACAACTACAATGAATGTCTTGTAATTCTCTCAAAAGCTGGCCTGGGGTGCAGATGTTCCTCACACTCCTGCTGGGATAACAACTAGAGCCTCTTGCTTTATTAAGCACTTCTTGCCAGGCACACCATTTTATAGTTTGAATACATCATCTATTAATCCTTCCAACAACCTATAAAGACAGATATTATTATCATTATTATCCCAGTATAAATGGGGGAACTGAAGGACACAGAGATTTCATCACTGGTCTCATATTACTCAGAAGTAAAAGACTTGCACACAGGCCTCTGTATCTTCATAGTCTGTGCTCTAAATATCTCCAGTATCTAATCTCCCCAGGAAGTCTCCAGACCTTCTCCAGTGCCAGACCCTTCTAATAGTCCTTGTGACTTCCAGAGCTTCCCTTGGTCATAGGGTCAGGTGCCTTGAGCACCAACACCTTGACCTTACAAGAAGTCACCGGTCCATGGGTGTCCAAGGACATCAGATATCCATGGCATTCATTGGCCCATCTGTGCTGGGGGCATGGACCCAATTAGGAAATGCTCTGGTGTGGTATCTCTGCTTCTGCTGGTTTGGGCACCTCAAGTCCATTGACATTGTAAAACAAATGCTTACACAAGAAATCTTCAAATCTGAAAAACTGGTATGTGATACATCCTGGAAGACAAATCTCTAAATTTCACCTGATACTTAAAATGTTGTCCCTTAAAAATAAATAAATAACCTAAGACATTGCTGCTAATTTTGATTACTCCAATAACATTTTAAAAAGTTTATAATAAGCTTCCCTGATAGCCTAAACTGAGGGAAAAAAAATCACATTATCATCTATATTCATCCAGACAAGGTACTTTGGTCCTGTACTCTTATCTTGTCTAAGAATGGCATATGACTTTGCTGTATCCTATTTTAGAACAAAACATTTAGATTATGTCTTTTCTCTATCTATGATCTGGATCAGATATTTTTGTTCCAGAAAACCCATGTTCAGTTCTTAGCTTCAAAGCAGAAACCAGCCTTTTATAAATGGCCAAATCACCCAAAGGTGGGAATTGTAAACACATTTTGAAATTCTGAAGAAAAAAAGACACATCGTGTACAGCAAAGTAAACATAAATTGATAATTTTCTAATGAATCTTTTTGTTTTTCTCATTAGATTTAAAACCCAGCTATGATGGTCCACGATATCCCCACTGCTCCTTTTCTGAGCATGAAATGAAAACTCTTGATACAGCATGACCCTTCAAGGAATACTCCAACTTCTCTAGAGGAAAAACAACAACCTGACCAGAATATTTTTTAACAACAATGAAATGAGTAACCAAACATCACCATATGAAGCTGTTCATAACAAAACTAAAGAACTTCTGAATATAACATATTTTAATTTCTTAACTATGGGGAAGCTGCTGATCAAATTACAAAAAAATTGTGTGTTTGTGGTTTTGGGTTTGTTTCCCCCCTCAGTTTTAGTTTCAGTTTTGTTTTGTTTTGCAAGAATGAAAGAGGAAGAACCTCCTTAACCAACAAAGCTATTCTGATAAGCGAGAGGTTCATGAGGGTTAGGACATTGGCTTCAGCTGGAGAGAACAGAAACCATTCTACAAGGACTACCTCGGCTGCAACCTGGATCTTTCCCTTTTCTGGAGGTTTTAGCTCAGAAGAACTGTACACCAGGGACTCCCTTCAGATCTTCTCAGTCCCAAGCCCGTGTGGCCCTCTCAGGGTTCTGCAGTGGTGAAGAGTGGGCCTGTGAGTGTTTGTGTGTGTCTTCATTCCCTTCACACTTACTGCACATGTGTATATGAGAGTGTGAGGTGTACATATTAAAGGAAAGGAAGAGAAGGGACCAATTGATTCTGTGGCTCCAGCTTCCGTAATTCTTTAGTAGACAGAGTGGCTTCCCCTGGCATATAGCTCTGAGATGAAGGTCTGCTGGAAAATTCTTATAGTGGCTCCTCTGTTCTTCCTGGCCCATCCCACCTCAGCCTTTCCAGCTCACAATGACCAACCTACTATCAAGCACTCCAGTGGCCACACTTGTATAGGTATGTAAATATTATTTTGTATTTTTTTATTGTGGACTTAACATTGGAATCCAATACTGCGTTTGAGTAATAAATCACCTATTTAACTAATCTGATGTCAATAGCTCTGAGATTCCAAGTGCCACCAATAACATTGCCAATGCAGGAACATTTTGTCCTAGGGCAAGTATCCAAACAATATACATGTATGTGTATGTAGAAGTATGCTACACAGTTGCTAGTTGGAATTAGTTATAAGTCTTTCACTTTATTGATGGTTGTAATATTTTTGTCTTGGATACTCATTGCTGTCAAGTAGAACCTGACTCATAGCAACCCCTTCTTGGGCTTCTGAGGCAGTATCAATAAGGAAGTAGATTGCCCAACCTTCCTTCTGAGTAGTGACTGGTGGGTTTGAACCACCAACCTTCTGGTTAGCAGTAAAATGCCTTAGGGACTACGCCACCAAAGAGGGGAGGATTTATAGCACATACTTTTTGGGACACAATTCAATCCATAACAATCCATTCTTTGGCCCCCCAAAATTCATGTCCTTGACACATGCAAAAGATATCCCCCTCATTATATTATGCCAAAAGTCTTAGATTACTCCAAGTCCTAAATCTCATTTTCTAAATCAAATATGGGTGAGAGTTTAGGCATAGTCTATCCTGAGGCAAAATTCCTCTTCATCTGAACCTGTGAAATCTAGAATACAAGTTCTCTGCTTCCAAAGTATAATAGTAGAACAGGCACAAGGTAGACATTTCCATTACAAATTGGAAAAATTGGAGGGAAAGAAGAGATAACAAGCACTAAACAAGTCCAAAACCCAGCAGAGCAAATTATATTAGCTCTCAAGATTTGAAAAGAAGTCTCTGTTCTTTGAAACCATCTGAACAATGGCCATGCCCTCCAGATTCTGGGAGTTGGTCACACCATTTGGATTCTGGGCCCTTGGCTCTGGGCTTAGTCCTGCCTTCCAAGGCCTCTGGGATGACAACTCTGCTCCCTTGGCTTTATGCAGCTCTGTTCTCCTACTCCATCTGAATGATGACCATACCCTCATCCCGGGCAAGTCCTGTTCTTATGCCCATTGGGCATTACAGCTTGCTACCTTAGCTTTGGTCAGTGTCCCCATTCCCCAGCATACTTTAACAACAGCCCCACACTCAGGAAATGAGTTAGCAAAGATCCAACTCTTTGAAACCACTCTTTGTGACCATACCCTTTGAGATTCAGGATACCATAGCACTGCCCTTTGAAACCAAGAAAGCCCTGCTTCTTTCAGTAGTTTTTCAGATCTCCAAACTACTCTGAGGATGGTCTTTTTCTTTCCTTGAAGGACAATAAATGTAACTCCTTTAGTCTGTTTCTTGCCTGAAGAATTCCAAGAGTCAGACAGTGTTCTTTTGTTCTTTATCTGTCCCCTCTGTCAAAGCTGATGTGTTTTCTGCCATGGTAGTTAGTTAGAATCATCTTTAACAACAGCAAAAAAGATTGTGTGGCTTTGTCCTTGGTGAATATTCTAGGACACATGTCCTTAGTTCGTACAATAAAATTTTCCAAATCTTTAAGTTCTATTTTCATTTTACACAGTTTATTTTTAAGCCCATCTCTTTCCTCTTACATTTTGCTATAAATGGTTAGGAAAAGACATGAAGCCCCTTTAAGATCTTGCTTAGAAATCTCATCAGCTACATATCCAACTTCATCATTTACAAGTTCTAGAG